TACTGTCATGTTCTTTCTGGGGTAGGAGTTTCAGGGATTTTTACTCCTAAGAGGCCATGTGGACTATGAGGTTCCACTCTACGACTGCCATAGCCAAATTTTATCATACCAGGGAATGAACTTGATGAAGTAGCTGTTGAGGCAATGCCAGTTCCAGCATCAAAGGTGGTAGGTAGAGTGGGTGTCATTGTTAAGTCCTCTGGTGCCTGTGTCACTATCTTCTTGATGTCACTGTGGTGGTTTGAATGAGCATGGCCCCTATAGGCTCATAGGGAGTGACGCTATTAGTAGGTGTGGTGTTGTGGGAGGAAGTGTGTCATTGTGGATGGGCTTTGAGGTTGCTCAAGTCAGGCCCAGTGTCACTTGATAGGGGATGTCCTTCTGTTGGCCAATAGAGGCGGGAAGATAGGTGGGATGGCAGAGAGGGGGTTTGAGAGACACCATGTTTCCGGCAAAGGAGTAACAGGGTGGGACCCTTCTCCAGTAAGCCAAGACCACATGGAAATACATAGATTTATAGAAATGGCTTAATAATTAAGGCAGAGCTAGCCAATAAGAAGCCCTAGCCATTGGCCAACAGTTTATAATAGTTAATAAGTCTTTGTGTGTTTATTTGAGGTAGAGAAGGGCGGTAGGACCTGGTGGAACAAGTAACTCCAGCAACAGTCACTCTCTCTTCTGCTGCCTGCTGATTCAGAAGGCTCCTTCTCCAGCACCATGCCTGCCTGCATGCTGCCATGCTTCCTGCCATGATGATAAGGAACTAAACTTCTGAACCTGTAAACCAGCACCAATGTAGTGTTTTCCTTTATAGGAGTTGCAGTGGCCATGGTGTCTCCCCATAGCAACAGAAACCCTAAGACAGTCATACTTGGCAGCTTTCTCCAGGTGGCAAGGCAGATCTGTGATGGACACATTGCAGGTGGAGACTGGCTCTGCCAGTGCATTGCCTCTTGTCTCTGGTCTGACTGTCTCTTAGTTTCGGCAGTGCCAATAGGTATAGGGATTGTGTTCTGGGCATTCAAACATCTACAGTCTAAGCGTGTCCTAGAATCATTTAGTATTTTTCTGTAACTGTCTTATTTAGCATAATGAACTCAAGATTTATCCATGTGAGGGCCAGTGAGATGGCTCAGTGGGTAAAAGTGCTTGCTGCCAAGCCTGACAGCCTGAGTCTGAGCCCCTGGAACCCATGATGGAAGGAGAAAACTAATTCTTGAAACTTGTCCCCTGACCCCCACATGCTTGCCAAGGCACACAAATGCCCACTTGTGCACTCCCCCCCCACATACACACATAATATACAGACATGTGTAGTTGCTTATTTTTTTTTTTTTAACTATTTGGAGAGCCTGCCACCCAGATCTCAAATAAATACACACGGAAGCTTATTCTTTCTTATGAATGCCCAGCCTTAGCTTGGCTAATTTCGAGCCAGCTTTTCTTGACTTATCCTGTCTACCTTTTGCCTCTGGGTTTTTACCTTTCTCTATTTCCAAATATCGTTTCTTTCCTTCTTGCTCCTTGCCTGGCTGTGTAGCTGGGTGGCTGGCCCCTTCTTTTCTCGTTCCCTGACCTTGCATCTCCCAGCTTTCTCCTATTTATTCTCTCTGCCTGCCAGCCCTACCTATCCTTTCTCCTGCCTAGCTATTGGCCGTTTAGCTCTTTATTAGACCAATCAGGTTTTAAATGAGCAAAGTAACACAGTTTCACAGAGTTAAACAAATGCAACATAAAAGAATGCAACACATCTTTGCTTCATTAAACAAATATTCCACAGAATAAGCAAATGTAACACATCTCAAACTAATGTTCTACAACAGACATGTGCATTCATATCATAGCATGTATCAGAAGATCCTTTGTAAGTCTGAACTTAATTTCATGATGTATATATCAAGCTCATATTTGGTTGTCCTTATATCTATAGATTGACTTTGGGTTATGTAACATTTTAGCTATTGTGAATAATGCTTTTTTTGAACATGGGTGTAGAAATACCTCTTTGAGACCGAAAAGCAGAATTGCTAGATTATCATTCTACTTTAGAACTCTATAGAAAAATCACCATGTTATCTATCCCCAGAAGGGCCTTACCATTTATAGTCCCACCAACAATATACAAGCATTGCAATTTTTCTCCCTCCCCTTTCTCTCAAACAAAGTTTACACGGCATCAGTTTGAATTTTTTAAATATTTTATTTATTTATTATGTATACAACATTCGGCTTCCATGTATATCTGTACACCAGAAGAGGGCACCAGATCTCATAACAGATGGTTGTGAGCCACCATGTGGTTGCTGGGAATTGAGCATCTCTGGAAGTGCTCTTGTTAGACCCTCAGAAAGCTGAGGCTTCCAGAATCTTAGCCCAGGACGGCGGCCACCCCAAACACAGAATGGAGGCGAAAGCTTGATGCAAATTGCATGAGGCTTTATTGTAGTTTAACGAACTAACCCCATGTTAGCTCGGGGTTGATTGGTCAACTGGTTGTTATGGCTCATAGGCCCTCCCAGGGTGGTTGCTATGCTCTCTACGTCATTGTCGTGCGCTTGTCCGTAAAGCACACCCAGGGTCGTAAAGCATAGCGCCACCAGCTAACTTCCGATTGGCTCCTTGTCATGAGACAGGCATCTGACTTTCTAGTGACTAACTTCTGATGGGTTCCTTGTCACGAGACAGGCATCTGACCTCTACGTGACCAAGGCAGGTTTATGGCAAGCATGTGTTCGGCTGTAATGGCTGCCAAAAGGGAAGCCGGTTCCTTCACTCTTAACCTCTGAGCCATCGCTCCAGCCCCCGGTTTGAATTTTTATTTTAAGATCTGGATGTGGGTGCTGGAGAGATGGCTCAGAGGTTAAGAGCACTGGCTGCTCTTCCAGAGGTCCTGAGTTTAATTCCCAGAAAATACATGGTGGCTCACAACCATCTATAGTGGGATCTGATGAGCTCTTTTGGCATAAAGTTGTACACGCAGATAGAGCATTCATACATAAAACAAACAAACAAACAAATAAATCTTAAAAAGATCTGGATGTGATGACACTCGCCTTCAATCCCATGGTGACACTCACCTTCAATCCCAGCACTTGGGAAACAGATGCACTCAGGTCTCTGTGAGTTCAAGACCAGCTTGGTCCACACCAGTCAATGATGTACTTACCTAGACCCTGTCTCAAAAAAAAAAAAAAAAAAAAAAACACAAAAAAAAATAAGCAAACTTTTTATTTTAGTTATTACTACAGTGTGCGTGGGAAATGGTTGTATTCACAAGCCCGAGGTCAGAGGACAACTTCAGGTAGTCTGTTCTTGTCCACTACTATCTTGGTTCTGGGGATCAAACTCATGACATTAGGTTTGGTACCACAGTAATAGTTCCGGCTTCATAAAAAGAATTTGGAGAAAAAAAACCAACCAAGCAAACAAAGTATTTGGAAGTGTCTTCTCCTTGTCTGTTGTATAGAATAATCCGAGTAGTATTGGGGTTAGTTCTTTGGAGGTCTGGTAGAATTCTGTGCTGTATCCATTTGGCCCTGGGCCTTTCTCATTTGGGAAATTTAAAATTACTGCCTCTATTTTATTGGTTATTATGACTTCATTTTAATGATTCACTTCATTCTGATTTAATTTTGGTTGGTCATATATATCTAGAAATTAGTCCATTTCTTTTAGATTTTCTAGTTCAGTGGAATATAGGTTTTTAATTATCTCCACTTTTTCAGCCCTGGTTTTGATCAGGCTTCCAGGTGCCTTAAGTTACTAACATGAGATTCTCCCATCTTTAGAGGTAGCCAATGCTATCAACTGCCTCAGAGGACTGCCTTTTTGTTCCATAGATGTTTAGTGAAACTTGATGATGTACCGGAGGACTTGGGAAGCCAAGAACAAACAACACTCCAAAAGAGTAGATGAAAAGAAATAAAGTCAGGGATGAAATTAATAAAGTAGAAATGAAAAAGAAGAATACATGAGTTGGTTCTTTAAAAACATTAGCAAAGTTGACAAATCATTAGCCAAAATAATGAAAAGAGTGAGGCCCTGCACTAATACCTTCAGAGATGAAAGGGAAGCCTTGTGGTGTTACTGAAGAAATTCAGATACTAAGGGCTTACTTAGGGGTGGGTTCAAGATAGGCTTCCTCTGTGTGTCCTGACTGTCCTGGAACTCACTCTGTAGGCCAAGCTAGCCTCGAATTCAGAGATTTACCTACCTCTGCCTCCCAGTGCTGGGATTAAAGGCGTGTGCCATCACCACCACCTGGTGGCTAAGGCCATACTTCTAAAAATTACTCTTTTATGACTTTGTTGAAAACTGTTTCCCCTTCTTCTTCTTCTTCTTCTTCTTCTTCTTCTTCTTCTTCTTCTTCTTCTCTTC